CCTGGATGGCAAGAAGAGTTATGGACTTCTGGCAGAATCTTCCAGGATTGGCTCACTCCAAGGCGTTTATTCACCCTTCGAAGCTTGATTCCAAACAGTTGTTGGACTACAGTAGGGATCAACTACGACGTCTAACAGGCCGTCTTATAGGTCACTGTCATTTGAATCATCACATGCAGAGACTTGGACTGTCGGAAGACGTTGTGTCGCCTCTGTCTGGAAAATGATGAAATTGCAGAGCATACACTTTGTGCCTGTCCCGCTTGGAACCGAATCAGGTTCTTTAGTTCGGCAGATCCGTACTCTCACCATCTAACCTGAAAGACAACTCACCATACAAACTAATCGGCTTCGTTAAGAAGCTGGGTTTATTTGACCGAGTGTGAATAGGTGTGAGCCATAATAAACCCTTATGGGTTGCGGTGGAGGGTGGAATAGACCCACTCACTTTAGACCTACCTACCTACCTACGTTAGCCTCTCTCAGAATTCTTGATAAAGGACTATAGTGTCCATAGTTTGTCACGTGCCTGTTCACCATGAAGACAGATGTATCATCCCTTGTTTCACGTTGCTTCACCTTAAAATTAATCAAACTGAGTAGTTCAGGACAATAAAAGTGCCCTGACAATATTTGCCCTGGACACTATTCATGGAGAGGATACCTGAACAAAAGAAAGCTGTACAATGCAGATCTTAACTACAGGCAATGCAACAAAGGAACAAATACAGCTCGTCTTATTTGATGCAAATGTGAGAAGGCTCTAGATCGCAAGAGGCAAATAATTTATGGACTTCTACAAACCAGCACATGAAACAATATTGTTGGAATGGGTACCATCAAAAAGATGGGAAAAAACCTCAAGAAACCTATGAGGAAGAAATGAGCGAGACAAAACATCTCTCAAGTAGTAGGAAAAAACCGTGTTCACAATGATCCAACATTCCTCCACAATTATCTACCGGGTAAAGTTTGTTGTCCTCAGCGATATTAATTTGAGAATAAAACAGTGACACAGAGATGATAAAACTATCTTCCTAGCCTTTCGAAATGAACTTGAATAATGTATTCTTGATCCCGTCGATTTTCAATAGCGAATTCGAGATTAGGAGGAACCCTCTGTTACAATTATTTAATTGATGAATTTGGCGAGATGAACAATTTTACAGTTTTTCGAAACATGAGTTTCTGATCCAATTTCCAAACATCTGAATTATGTAACTTTCGAGTTATTGTTTGTTTGATGTGATACAAGGTACCATTTTTATTGAAATTTGTGATGAAACAACCTTATAGAATAAATAGAGGATGGATAATTGTATATAAGTGGACAGAATGAATTTCGACTAGTCCGATGAGTCTTGTACTTTTGTATAAAATATTATAAAAAATGAATTATCTATATATCACCACCTATTCCCTAGCAAAACATTGCCTGTCACTGTATGCATTTATCCAGTATTAATTATGGTTTATGCATTTTATACTTCCAAAAAATTATACCTCATTCCAAATTACTTGATCTCTGAATTGATTTCATATTAAATTTTGTAGTAGTGAAAAAAATCAATAATTTATAATTGACTAATATTCAAGGATTTCTATTTGAATAAACTAAGATAAGCCACCAGCAGGACTATTGTACTAAAAAGCTATGGCTGTAGTTGAGGTACAACAGTATAATTACATATGTCAACATTTTTACTGTTTTTTGGGTGTATCACCTCCCACAATTTGAAAAATAAACAAAGCTAAATCAAAAGAGAATCTGCAGGATTGTATATGTTTGCCATAAAGGAATATTTGACCTAGGCTACTTTCCAGAAAAGTTCGAGAAAGCCTTAGTCATTCCTCTTTTTAAAAAAGGAAATAGAAATGACCTGAATAACTACCGACAAATTTCATTACTTTGTTCTCTTTCGAAATTGTATGAAAAAGTGGTGGCTACTAGAATAGTGAATTATTTAGAGTCAAATAATATACTATGTAATAATCAACATGGATTTAGGAAAGATCGTTCCATAGAAACCGCTGCCTATGATTATCTCAATAACATATACTCCGAAGTTGATGCCAATAGTTTTGTAATTAGTATTTTTTTTGGANTTCACAAGTCTATTTTTCGCGAGAAAAGTCTATCAGTTTATATTTCCGTCATCCGGTACTGTTCGCTTCGCGAAACACAATCAATCACCAGTCTATCTGCGCGAAAGTGCGAAAGTTTTATAGTCAATTTCACTGTGATACAAAAATTGTCTACCAAGCGCTCACAAATTTATTTTAAAAATCCACTTCTGATCACCAATTGTAACGAATTAAAGAATTAACTGTCTTAAACAAATTTATTTTAACAATACTTCACTATCACAACTAATTTATCTACACCTCTCAGTAACTAACGCTTAATTTATCTTCACCGTTTGTTAACCGCTCGAATAGCTTTCTTGGTACAGACTACTCCACGGGACGAAGAGCGACGTTTTTATATTGTCAACGAACGTTCCGGATCCCTCTGTGGATTTCGGGACCCATCCGGAGTTTTCGCGGTATTTTGCGATGCGTCATGCGTTTGCTGACTGGGGCATCGATCAGGGCCGGCTTCAGATTCATTACAATATTTAATGAATAGTAAGAGAGTTGTTACAACATGCTTTTTGAAAGTTATATACCTTTTGAAGTGGAATGGTATGTGGTTGTTTCATAACCACAATTTTAATTTATCTTTCACTTCTACTTCAAGAAATTTGTCATAATTGATTTGCATTGTGACAACTTTCTTAAACTAAAAGTTTGGTGTATGGAATCGGACAATAACATATAAGGTATTGAGGTATAAGGTATTGAGGTATAAGGTATTGAGGTATAAGGTATTCATATTTTTCATTCATCTATGAATGAAAAATATGAAAAATTCTCGAATACATTACAAAGTCATTTCTTTAGGACATTTCCAATGAAGAAAAAAATCCCCAAAAATGTTCCAAAATCGTGGATCACCGATGAAATCAAAAGATCGAGTGTACAGTTGAAAGATCTGTATATTCTTCAGAAGAATTACCCTATTTTGAAAGGTCAATATCAAATACAAAAACGAAAAGACCATAATCTTGTGGAAACTTGTGGACAGTTATCAATAAACTGAAAAATAATAAGAAACCCATATCATCCAATATAAAAATCTCCCATGAAAATAAAGAAATCTCCTGTCCTGATGACATTGCAAAACTGTTCAATAATTTTTTCATAGGTGCTCCCAAACAGGTTATAGACGATATACCACAGGTTGAAAGTAACAACTTTGATCATAGCCTCAACAGAAATCTTACTTCAATGGTTGTACTTCCTTTCACCGAGGAAGAAATGCTAAATATATTCTCTAAATTCAAAAATAAATGTTCGTCTGGACCTGATGACTTACCTAACAATATAATAAAAGAATTTGCAAACCTCTTTTTAAAAAATTGAATATACTCCCACTTTTCTGCATATATATATTGGAAGTTTCCTGTTATATACATAAAAACAGAAACAAAATTTCCTGTCATAATGAAATCCATAATTACGCAACAAGATTCAGTCATCATCTTTACACACTTCAAAATCAGTTAAATATATGCCTGTATGGCCCTATTTCCAATGGATTTAAGGTTTACAACCACCTATTGACAAAAATCGATCAGGAGGTATCTTACTTCAGATTCAGAAATACTGGATAACTCGTATTATACTATGGACGAGTTCTTATCTTCGTAGTGAACTCTCTTTACTCCTTATAGCATTTTAAAGTACATGTATTGTTTGCCTAATCTATGTTCAAATTTCTTTTGACTTGTTTTATACCTTTTAGCTCTTTGAAACCAATAAAGATTATTATTATCATTATTATAATTTATCCAGATATTTGATTATTTTTCTAAGGACAAAACACAATCACTACAGGAAAATCCCTAAGGCACTCTAAGACCGGTGCCTGTGCGAAAGTAGCGATTCCCTTTGGATTTGAATCGCTGGAGATAAAGTGCATTTGGAAAAACTTTCTCAGGGATTTTATTCCACATAAACGCAGTGATCTGAATGAAAGAGTTTTTGAATAGTGAAGTTCAAGGTGTACTGAGTTAAACCTTAAAACGATGAGCAATCACAATCTGTCGGGTATTTCTGATATGTTCCGCTCTTGGTGGAATCAAATATGCCAAGTCACCTGAACACCTCCCGTGAAAGTATCTATAAAAGAGAGACAAATCTCCAACCTTTCTTCGATGTTCCAGACTATCAAGGTTGCAATTTCAGGGTATGCTTAGGGGCAGAGCTCCGTACACAAGAACAATACTCCAAAGAAGGTATAATCTGAGCTTTATAAAGCATCAAAAGTTGCTGAGATGTGTACAGTTTACTGGTTTGGAACAGTGTTTCAAGCTTTTTATGTCTATTTTAACCCCAAACAAACTTATCGAAGCAGAAAGTGAAATTGTGTGTCCTGACGTTATTACACCCGGTTCGGAGACATTTATCTTTTTGGAGGTTGGTCCCAATCAATTTGAATGATTGGAGTTCTACTGTACATAGTCAATAAATTTAGGAGGTGAAACAAAATTGTAACTCTAAACAGTCACTGTACCAAATTGTCCAAGCACCAGCAAAAGCATATATAAGCAGATATAAGGGTCAATAAATAACACTTGAAAGTACCTCTTTCTACAAATCAAATTTATTTCTGAAAATTGATTCGCTTTTCAGAAACCTTAAATTATAGTATCCAAAATTTGGATCCGCAGTACTTTTTATTGTAATTTGAATGACAAATATTACCCTCTTCCAATGGCAGGCCAAGTATTGGTTCCTAAGTAATAATCGCTTTGGTTTTCAACTATGCCTATTCCCTGTAACAAAAAAAGAGCATCAACCCATACTAAAAAAAACTGATTTTCAATAACTCATATTTCAGCATGTGATTGTGAAGCTAATAATTTATTTCCAAATATCAACTGCAGCGGCTATTGTGGTATTAGACTTGTTTACTATTCAGACTTTATTAACTATTGAATCCCACCCAAGAAGCAGTATATCTATTAAAACCTATAAAGTGTCTACCTAATGGAATTGTATTGGTAACTTTTAAACCATAAGAGTTAGAATGTAGGTCAAAAAGAAAAAAGTTGCATTCATAGAAGCAATGTCAGTTGGTTCAAACAAATCGAGAATATCTGGGCCGGTTATTTGGATATCATAAAAAAATTAATTCTGTCATTTTGATTTTTCCTTCGTTATTTCAAAAATGTTAGGCATTTTTTATTCGATGGTGAGTTCTCCTCAATTTGACCTAGGAATGATTTTTTATATCCGATACATAAGAAATCTCTGTACGAAGAAAAGTACTGTTTACAGTACAATTAAATTCTTTAACTCTCTCCCACAGGATATAAGAGACATTGGGATGACCAGAAGTTTCTGAAGTCTGTGAAAGAATTTTTATGCAATCTAGAGCCTTATACTATAGATGAATATTTTAACACTCCATTTTAAATTTTATTTTATTAACGCTATACTTCTATGTGCATGTGAAGTAATTTATTCAAATTTTGTATCTTCCTACCGTTTGTAATTTTCTTTACTGACGTATTTCTCGGCCAAAGTTTTTTTTTTCACCTTTTATACAAGATTTTTACATTACTCTGTAGAAATAAATGAATATCTATCTATCTATCTAATCAGATTTCAAACCCAATGTTTCGTACTCTCTGGGCCACCACCAACCTATTTTTTTTCAATGGAGACCTATATATTTTATGACACTTTTCGAAATAATTTTTCACGCTGATATCCACGATATATCATACAATGTTATTCAAAGTTGATTTTCAGGTGATTTTAACCTTTATTCAAATTTCTTTGGTTCGGATCTGTACTAAATTTATCTTCAGTTCAATTAACAACATGCAATACATTTTGCAATTCACTATCTTAAACTGGATGGAACGTTTCGGAATCAATGCAAGAAACAAGTAATAATTATTTACATATTCCAAAATAAAAAAAACCTAATTCATAATAATTAAACGCAACTATCATTTATTTGAAAGAAAAAATAAGTGAATATTCGAAAGTAAATAAAAATTAATGAGGTAAGTGTTTGAAATGTCCACCATTTTGTAAAATGCAGTTTGCGGTTCTGGAACTCAAAACTTCTTATACATTACGGTCGGTAGCCAAGCGGTTCGGCATGGGTGCTTTGTTCACTCACTCGAATTGACTGCCGTGTTGGTCGGTGGTTCAAGCCCTAGTCTGAACGATCGATCTTCACTTGGTACCGTCCAACCCGTGTTAGAAATCACACGTTAAAAGATAAGACCTCGTTAATCCTTAGCTCGCACAAGTTTCGACCTCTGAGAGTTGTCGTTCGTAGGGGTGCGACAGCTGGTTAACGGAAAAAGATTTGAAACAGATTTTAAACAGAGATTTGCTCATTTCGTCTCCTTCAAATTTTTTCAAGATCATTACGATATACTTTTTGCAAGGCTTAGTATTCAAATTTAAAAACATTGTATCCACATCTGTTGACTTTTTTCTAAATTCAATTGAAATTGGGTCAGAACATTGATATCGTTGACAGACTTGTTTTTTCGTAAAGACTCTAATTTTGAATGTATTATTTTCAAGTAGTAGGCTGAGGATGTAAAAACATAACAAGAAATGTCATATTATTTGTCACTTCGTTCATTATTACGTCACAAGAACTTCTTGTCATTAAATACTTTTCTGTGTAATTTACATCATTGAAAAAGTAACATCTAGTTCTATTCAAAACAGAAAGAATCCAACGTAGCGCCCTTAAGAAAAAATAAAGTTGATGATGGTGGCCGGAAGACGAAACGTCGGATAGCAAATCTGAAAACAAAATTATGTAGCAGGGAAAAGTGGTAATGTGGAAGTTCAATTTATTTTCAAATCCTTTGAAAAATATAGCCAGAAAAAAATAAAAACCATTCTCCGAAATTTCTGTTTTTTCCGGATATCTCCGGATATACCTTAAATTTCAGAACTTTCTAACGGCATATTGTTAGTCAGGTAAATGCGCAACATGCCCCAATTTAACCATCTTCGTATCTCTCATAGTTTCCGAGATCCCAATGGTGAGGATCGTTTTTGAAACACCCTGTATAGGGTAGTTACTCAGTAAAACCGGTCAAGTTTCATTCATTTTCAAAAACAGACATAAATCAACTTTTTCAAATGGAACACCCTGTATTTTTTCATTTGTATGAAATATTTCTACTACTTTTTATCAGAAGTATACTAAACAAAAAACTGATATTTTACAAATTATACCCAGTTCTATTATTTGTTGTAACCACACAAAAAAATTTATTTACGTTCACTTACTCAATTTTTTTTCAATATGAACAATAACGCCTATATTTTTTATTGAAAAGAGGATTCCAAAAAATGTTAATAATGGCAACCATTTTCTGCAACACATAATGTCAGTCTTTTTTTAAATGAATCCTCTACACGTTCCAGCATATCCTCTGGTATTTCCCTGAAAGCTCTAGTGATTCTTCACTTCATGTCTTCTATAGATGTTGAAGGAGTTTGGTAGACAATCCATTTGATAGACCTCCATGAAAATTCCACCGTTACCACCCATTTTTGATTGAAATTATTAATGAGGTATTTCCGTACCTTAGATTAAAAACATCTTGTTGTAGCCACGTTTTGAGTCTTGTTCCATATGGAACCCAGTCCAATAAATTCGGAAACTCATGCGGAAGAAATCTTACATATTTTCAGTTCTACGGACTGATAACTTATTTTCCAAAAATTCCACCCCAAATATTCAGTGACCAACGCTGTTGATGGTTCAGGCAACGAACAAAATTAGGGTTTTCCCTTGCAAAATAATGCATGTTATGCCGATTCACAATTCCATTTTAATGAAAAATCACTTCATCAGAAAATAACACAAAATCGAAAAAATTATTTTCTCGATTGATCTTTTCTAAGCCCTGTCGGCAAAATTGAACACGTTTTTCAAAATCTTTTCCTCTCAACTCTTGCATCAATTGCACGCTTGTTTGAGAAAATACCAATTTCCTGCTCAGATCTTGGGTACTCACATGGGAATTTTCAACAAGATGAAGAGTAATTTGAAATGTATTCTCTTCATTTGTTACAGGGCAGACATGTTTGAACTTCTCGTGATTGACATTACCAGTTCTTTCAAATCTTGTTAATAGAGCCTGAAATGCCCTTCCATCTGGTTGTCTTCTTTCAGGGAACTTCTCTTCGTAAATCCTAGATGCAAGGAGGCAGTTTCCCCAAAGCATAGACCATTTCCACAATATCTTCCAATACATAATTCATGATAAAAATGATTAAATCTACACGCGAAAGAAACTTCAACACATGGCGTTATTGAGAAATTCTGAGATTCATTTTTTGATGTGTCTTGGATAACTGAGTTTTTGAAGAAAAAATCAGTATAAATATTCTTTAGGTTTTTACTCATTTCTTAGCATTGAAACCGCTGATAACTATCACTAGATGGTATGAAAAATGCTAATGCACTAGCGATTAGTTTGAATAATCGAAAAACAAATTTGAGTAAGTGAACGTAAGAAAATACATTTTTTGTGGTTACAATTACTAATTCTTAATATAATTTGTAAAATATCAGTTTTTGTATAGTATGCCTCTGATAAAAAATGTAGTGAAATGTTGAAACATTTTATACAAATGAAAAAATACAGGGTATTTCATTTGAAAAAGTTGAATTATGTCTGTTTGAAAATGAAACTTGACCGGTTTTACCGAGCACTCTATATATTGTTTCCGAAAGTTGAGATTCCACAAATTACCATAGTGATTTTGACTATTTCTAAAAAAAAACACTTAATTGCTGTAGACATGCGAGTGTTGAATTAAAAAAATATTGTCTGCAAAATAGGTTTTTCTGGAATAACTTGGCAATGCCGCAATCGAAATTCGAAAACAAAAATTCCTTCAACAAATAAGAAAAATATGGAATCGAATGACGTATTTATATACTGGGTGTTCTATTTAAAAAAAATATATAACTTTGGTTGGCCATGTTCGGCTGATTCACCCAGTATCTGAGAAAATGATTTTAAAATGAAGTATTTATTGATATGACTGCGAAAAAAATTGAGCAGTTCAAAAAATTGTTTCCTCTGATAGCAATGGACCGAGGTAATCTTGTTGACTCACCCTGTATTTCAATTTGAAAGTAAAAATATGTTGAGAGTTTTTCATGAATTAGCTATTATTTTGTTGCCTTTCGGCTATTACCTAATAACTAACAAAAATTGTTTCATTGAAATATCACAGTACAATTTTGTTTTCCAAATATCAAACTTCTTTCTATGACATCAGCTAATTTATTACCTCCAGAAAATTCATTTGAAATAAATTTCAAACTAGTAACATAATTAAATTAATTTTAGAATATGGATTACAACTGAGAATTATCTCAGCACTATTTTAAAACGTTTGAAATCCCTTCAGTTGATAGAAAAATGTTCACACATTTCATACTAATTTTAATTTTCACAAAATTAGTAGAAATTGCAAATACTTTAAGAAATCATAAGGTATTTCGGCAATACAAGTGATCACCCCTTCGATTTATAGTAGCAATAGATGAAAAACATGAATTTTAATGTCCTCAAAACTGGTATATGTATCAACCCTAATATAAAATAACATAGCACAAAGCAGTTGAATCGGAATTAGTTCACTTTCTTGAAATCTTACTTGCTTTTCATTGAACTTTCTGAATAACTTCCACAACTCATAAATATCACTCATAACAGTCAAATCGGTATCCAATACTAATATTTTGTTGGTAACTTTCAATGGTATTATTTTGGGAAATAATAGCTTCAGCAACCCATGAATCCCAGAATAGTGGCTGTTTGGGATCCACCTAATATCAGCTATGAATCTGTTCAAATCATAAAATGTTGCATTTACTGAAAAAAAGTCACTCTTCCAAATATTCATGATAAGTATCACTTCACTTACAAACCTTGAGGAACATTCCAACTATTTATCAATTTCCTTAAAATATTTTCTGAAATTTTATTGGTTATAATATGAAAATGTAAAGGATTCGCCCTGTGAAAATATATGGATTTCAGAAGGGTATGGAAATACACGTTGGCATTATATCCTGAACAAACCACTCCAATATGAATTATTTCACATGGATCATCCTTCAAATCATTTTTAGAAGTAAAACCTGCTCCGACATAGCTCTTGTCTATATCATTTTCTAAATGTACGACCACTTTCTTACGAGTTGGCAGACTTGGTGCTGAAATGAAGATTTTCAAATTAGAATAAATATGTTTGTCAAAGCAGTCAAAACTTACAAGTATACAGTTTGGGAACCATGTTGATGAAAAGAAATATGAAAATTATGACCAAAAATGGAATAATCATCCATTGTCTCGAAAATTTGAAAAATCCATGTTGTCTTTTGAAACGAATTTTACAAGTTCTTCAAATATTGCTGAAAATGTTGCGGTACATTCAGGGAGAGGCTTCTGAAAACAAGAGTAAGAGTACACTGTACTATTTTTGGCAAGAAACACAAAGGCAGAGCTCCTGGTAGATATATTTCTAATAAATGTATCTATTGTCCTGGAAGATATTATTCAATCTGCTTTATTTATAGGAGCATTGTTCACTTCATATAGAGTCGTTGAAAATTATATTCTTTGAATCATTTAATCATTTGCTAGTTAACTAATTTTGAAACTTTTGGATTCAAGCTTACATTTGTGTACACAGTGTTGCCATAGTTCAATTGTCATATTATATACACCATTACATCAATGAAGATGCATAGAAACCCTGATGTTTGAACTGAATCGTTTTTCTTTGTCAAAATCTCTGGACGGGAGAAATAAGATTGACCAACTTCATACACATGTTGATAGATGGGACAACAATCGTTTCCAGATGTAAACATTGGCATGCGGTTTGCGCCTTTGCGAATGGGATGCAGAAGTACGTTGGGTCTCTTTATTGTATGAAGGATTTTATAGTGCCGTAGTGCACAATATTTCACATATGAAGGGGTCCAGGTGATAACACCAACCAATTTAAAATTATCCATAAATTCAGCACTATTTGTTCTTCACAACGGATTCAATATCTCCCGGAGCGTAGGGCAACATCGATGTCTCTTTAATACCTTAAGAGTGCTGTAGATGGTAATACAGCACTTTTAGGGCCGCGTTATGTCGATGGATATAGGTCGAGACCGCATATGCTGGACATGCTGACAGCAAGTGCATTAGGGTCTCGGATGTCTCGCGCCGGATCTGCACCTTGTGTCAGGAACCTCTATACCCATCACGTGGCTGCGGCAAACTAATGTGTTGAAGACACCATCCTGGCATGCCCTGATGAACCCCTCAGTTTACAACTTCAGCCCACTCGACCTAAGGAAAGCCAAGTCAGCCAAGGATAAGCCCTTGTGTTGCCACTTCTGCGGCAACACAAGTGAGGTGATCTCTGCCGCTTTTATATGAGCCTTTTGCTGAACGGGTTCTAACTCGGTGACAGAGTTATGATCATGCACCTTGTTGAATGCTCCAATTCCTGCTCTGTTATGGTCGCGGACCATGCATAGAAGGAATTCCGAACAGGCTACAGGTTATTATTACTATTTTCAAGAAAAAATTCAAAAACAACCAACTCAATTTACAGAAGATTTAGAAAAATTTTGCCAAGATAATGAAGCAACCACTCCAATAGCACAAGACGCATCCACTTCATCTGTTCAATCAACTCCGAAAAAAACGCCTTCTGCTATTCCTACTTAGAGATAGAGAGAAATGTGATGCTATGCTAGAAACAATTGAACAACATTTTGAGAAACCTAAGCCGAAAGAAAATAGATACGACATTCTTGGAAAAAACGTGGCTCTGAAAATAAGGAATATATCATATAACACTTAAAGATTGGTAGCAGAAAAAATAACTAATGAAACTTTATTTATGACTTAGACAAATTCTGTTTGTCAATCTGGTTAACAGTGAGCCCAAAAGTGTTTCTTTATCTCGTCAGCATATTGATAATAATAACAATGGTTTTTCTCAATAGTCTGGATCAAGATATTTTTAGTTGCAATCTGCTTTAAGTGAGGGAAGCGATAGTTCCCTTCTGTCCCTATCTTTGTATTATTCAAATTTCACAGACTGAATTTTTAATATTTTGTTTTTTACAATTATTTTCCTGTTTTGTACCTACTAGAAATTATAACTTTTGTAATAGATTTCACTTACCTTTGAAGTCGGAGGTGTACTGAGTTGAACCTCAAAACGATGAGTAGTCACAGTCCATCGCGTATTTCTGATATGTACCGCTCTTGGTGGAATCAAATGTGCTAAGTCACTTAAACATTTTCCTGAAAGTATCTATAGAAGAGAGACACATCTCCAACTTTTCTTTGATGTTCCAGACTATCAAGGTTGCAAGTGATGTTCGCATCTCCATTCAGGCGGATGGCTCTTTCCTGGATGGATTTCAGCAGTTTCAGGGTATGCTAATAAAATACTTCAAAGAAGGTCTGATCTGAGCTTTATAAAGTATCAAAAGTTGCTGAGGTGTGTACAGTTTTATGGTTCAGAACAGTGTTCCAAGCCTTTAAGAAGCAGCCTTTGCAATTCCAGCGACATGATTGTGCCAAGACATATTGATGTCAATTTTAACCCATAAGAAAATTATTGAAGCAGGAAACGGAATTGTCTGACTCGACATTATTATATCCAGTTCGGAAAGATTTTTCTTCTTGGAGAAAACCGATGACTGGATTTTTGTGGTAATGAATTGAACCTGGTTGCTTTCATCCCAATTTGAAATCACTTCTAGATCCTCATTATGATATACAACCTCCTGCTGCCGGTGAATATGTGCCTCCGTAGCCGATGTTTTGGAATTCAAATAGAATGACAAGAGAAGTGTACTGTCGTCTGCAAAGTAATATATTGAATTCTTGTTTTTTTTCTAATGAGTCGTTGATATACAATAAAAAGATGGTTGGAGACAATATGGATCCTGGGAAACACCGTCGTTGATGGTGAAAGTATTCGAGAGACATCTATCGACGGCCACTTGCAGAGAACCTTTATTCAGGAAGCTGAAAAGCCATACACAAAAATGGTCCGACAAGCCATAGCATCGAAATTTGGCCAGCAGACCCTCATGCCCCACCCAGTCAAAGGCCTTTGAAATATCAAGCGAAACAGCTCTTGATTCTCAATGTTTCTTGATTGTTTACTCCAAATATTGGTGACACAAGGTCGCTTGTTGATCTTTGTTTCCGAAAGCCATATTGATGATCGCTCAAGATATTGAAGTCTTTCAAATATTTGAGGATATGGTGGTTTATGGATTTCCTCGTGATTTTTGTTATCACTGATAGAGAAGCGACTGGTCTATAGTTAGTTGGAAGATTTCTCTTTTTGGGAACAGGCTGAACTTGAGCGATCTTCCAACAAGAAGGTCAAACCCTTTTCTTGTTAGATAAGTTGAAAAATCTGCAAAATACTGGTGCGAGTTCATTTGCGCACATTTTAAGTACGATGACGGGCACTTCATCAGGGCCAGAATCCTTGTTGATATTGAATTGTTTCAACATTCGCCTGACTAGACGCTGTTGAAAAGTAATTTCCCACATTGTGGATTCTAGTGTGGAAATAGTGAGTGGTGTAGGTGTCTTTCCCAAAAATTCGACTGTGGAGTGGGATGCAAATTGTTTAGCTATAGTACATTTACTTTTTCTATGGCTGTTGTTGCAATTGAACCATCTGCTTGTGTTAGTGGTGGAATTGTGGATTTTGTAAAGTTCTGATTAACAGCTTTAGCTACTGACAAGAAGGATCCAGACCCGTTGACAACTTATGCAAATTATATTGATTGACTTATCTATGTCAGTGATTATCTAGTTCTGTGCATTTATGCAAGCTTTTGAAATTTTGACCTTGATATATCGAGCATGCGCACTCGGTCCGTGGATCAATGTCTTCTTTCTAATGGCCAGTCTAACTTATGTCTGTGAAATTCTTTGAATCGTCTTAACCTAATGTTGGAATATTATTCAATTTTTACTAACAATGAATTTGTAGAGATATTGATAAGAAGTGGTGAAAGACATGTCGAAAGATACCCGCTATGGTCTATTGTATAGTGAATATGAGTATTCTCCATATTTACGTATACCCTTCGAGAAATTTGCAATAGTTGTTGTTTGTTTTCCATTATTTGCGTTCATATTTTGTATTTCCTATTCCGTCCTTTTTAATTTTGAGAGCGCAACTTATACACATTGTGATGTTTATAACATGCTACCTTCCATATCAGCAGCAATTGGTAATTTTTCACCACAAAGGGAAATTTGGCAAAGTGCCATTGCCATACACGCTGTTCCTAGGTTTTACATAGCTTTTGAGTACTTAAACCACCATTGCAGTGTTCTTCCACCCCAGGATATATGGATTGCACAAGTAGCTTTTTCTCTGAATCTGATCGAGAACATTGCCCTTGTATTACTTTCATTTTTTACTTCTTCACAGTCATATGGTATGATAATAGACTATTTTGTCATCTTCTCTTCACTACTCATTATCATTCTGTTCTAGCTGTACATGAAAAAGCTTTCGTTACCTTCATAATAGGATCTGAAATGTATATGATCTTAACCTGTTTTCTACAAGGTAGATTCAAGAAACAATCAAGAATCAGTTTGAAATGGAAGAAGCGATTTCTTATCATGAATATGGCTGGGATTGTGGCGTCTGTATATTTTTTCTTGAGACACAATTCATTTTGTGAGCCCTACAGTAAGTCGAATTCAGCTGTTTATGTAGGTCAATAAGATACCAAGTAATATTTGATTACGTTGGATTCCTACCTATTATCCTCCTGAAAGAACATTGACATAACACAATAATCATAGTTATGCAGGTGTTGGGATTGTTTTTATTTAAATTGAAAGGGGATATTTAAAAAAAATTTTTGGGAGATTCACATATTTTTTTTGTATAAAGATGGAAAAGTTGAAAGCCAGAACCTTTGTTTTTATTTACTTGGAACTTTCATTGAAGAAAGTTCCAAATATATTGGCATGATGGATATGTATAGACATTTTTTAGTGGTTTCGATTTTATTGTCTCAATTTTAAACATGTATATGGTTATATTTTAGTTCCAATTGAATCTTTTTTTTTTGGCCTGTGAGATATCAAAATATTCCATTTGAATTAGTGGGTACTTTTAATGTAAATGTTGGATATAATTCAACAGGAAGTATTTTTAGCTGATCCCACTATTGCTACCTCAGAAATGGAAAGAATTTCGAGATTGTCTAAATTTGATGAAAGTCGAACATTTAAGGTTTCATCAGTGGTGTTAGGCTGCACCATGAATGCATTACTAGACTCAACCGTTCTTAAAGGACAAATCTGAGTAAATTAAGGTGATGACACAATGACATCTTCCCACACAAAACAAACAAGGCTTGCCAAGACAGTCTGTTGCAAAGCCAAGTTTTTACTGCGACTGTCGAACAATATTTGTCTTTCACTGCAGCTTGCACTGCAAGGCAACTATATGAAACCAGAGTCCAAAACAAAAGTTGCCTATTTCAGGGACAATGAAAACCATTTTCTCAAATCCTGACAATAAATAGCCATTTTTGAGATATTTGCAAAAAACTGAAATTGTTGTTGGATTTCATTTATTGATTTTCTTATTATTCATTTCAAATAATTTTAAAATGAGGCAGAGGAATTATTTCAATTTGAATTATAAACTGGTATAAACTAATTTTCGCTTCAAAGTTTCGTCCATTGGATCCTGTATCAACTTTTTTCCCAATGCAAACATCAAGCCTGTTTCATCAATTTCAGAATAAAACTCAATCATATATCAAAATACATGTATTTCTCATTATATTTCTCGCAAAAAATGCAATATGGGTACAAACCAATATTTGCATATTTATTTGATATATAAAAAAATCAGAGTAAATCCTGCTTATTAGGCTTTGAGCTCAAGAAAGCTATGTAGGCCATTTACTTAAAATTGATAAGTTAAATAGATATAAAGGGTCTTTCATTTAGCGATTCCTATCATTAAAATTAAATAAAACAAAGTGTGTTTGAGATATCGAATTTTTTATTAGTTTGAAAGACCTATTGATGTCATTATGTGTGGAATATAACATCGTTCAAATGTATGCCACGGCTTGCTCCACCCAGAGCATGACTGCGGTGCATAAATTAAGCTGAATATGACCGATGGTATGGGGTATGATGGCTTTGAGGACCGCCGTTGTTTGTGGTTTATTCATATACCTGTGACTTAGGAAAACCCTGCCAGAAAAAATCTAATAGAGTCAAATCGCACAATCTTGGTGACCTCCACGTGAGATATCCATGCCCTCAAACCCCTTGTGCAGAATATCCATTCTGGTATGAGCCAGAAGAAGTTTATAATCATGGACCCATAGTACTCGCCGTTAACAATGATACCCTGGCCAAAGTCGTTCTCAAAAAAATATGGACCGATGACGCCGTCAGCCCAAAATCCAAAACAAACAGTGACTTTTTCGAGATGCATTGTACACTCTTGGATCTCAGGTGGATTGGTATTGTCCCATATTCAACAATTCTGTTTGTTCACGTACCTATTCATACAAAAGTGGGCTTCATCGCTGATGATTATTTTTAATGAGAATTAGGGTCAGTTGCCAACTGCTCCAGAACCCATTCAGCGAATACACATCGTTGTCTATGGTCGTTTACATTCAGTTCCTAAGTCAGTTGCATTTTTTGCGGGTACCTATAGGCCCAAGTCACGACGCAAAATTCGCCAAGTTGTTGTCTGCGAAAGGCCGAGTTCTTGTGAGCGACGCCAAATCGACTGCCTCGGAGTCTCCTGCACACTCTCACAGACAGCAGCAATATTTTCAGCAGATTTTGCGTTGCGTCGACATATGGATGTTGGTCGATCAATGATTGAACCGTAAAATGAGCGAAGCGCGCGGTACGTTGCCCGAACAGATCGCATTTTTTGATAAAATAATTTCATTATTTGCATGTGTTGTTAAGGCGCTCTCAGAGCACTGCATGTGCGAAAGTAGCGATTCATATTGGATTTGAATCGCTGGAGATTAAATCCATTTGGAAAAACGTTTCCAGGAAGTTTATTCCACATAAACAGTGAAGTTCGAGGGGTGCTGAGTTGAATCTCAAAACGATGAGAAGCCACAGTCCGTCGCGTATTTTTGATATGTACCGCTCTTGGTGGAATCAAATGTTCCAAGTCACTTGAACTCCTCCCAAACCTTTCTTTGATGTTCCAGGCTATCAAAGTTGTTCGCGTCTCCAATCAGGCGGATGGCTCTTTTCTGAATGGAATCCAGCAACTTCAGGGCATGTTTGTGGGCAGAGCTCCACACATGAGAACAATACTCCAAAGAAGGTCTTATCTGAGCTTTATAAAGCATCAAAAGTTGTTGAGGTGTGTATAGTTTTCTGGTTCGGAACTGTGTTCCAAGCTTTTGAGAAGCAGCCTTTGCAGTTCCAGAGACATGATTGTGCTAAGACATATTGGTGTCCATTTTAACCCCTAACAAAGCAGAAAGCGGAATTGTCTGACCTGACATTATTATATCTGGTTTGGAGACATTTATCTTCTTGGAGAAAAATGATGCCTGGGTTTTTGTGGCATTGAATCAAACCTGGTTACTTTCACCCCAATTCGAAATCACTTTTAGATCCTCATTAAGATACGCAAACTTCTGCTGCCGGTGAAGATGTGCCTCCGCAGCCAATGTCCTGGAATCCAAATGGAATGACAAAAGAAGTGTGCTGTCGTCAGCAAAGTAATATGTTGAATTCTTGTTTTTTTTCCAATAAGTCGTTGATATACAATAAAAAGAGGGTTAGAGACAACATGGATCCCCGGGGAACACTGGTGTTGATGGTGAAAGTATTCGAAAGATATCTATGAACGTTTATTCAGAAAGCGGAAAAGCCATACACAGAAATGATCCGACAAGTCATAGCATCGAAGTTTGGCCAGCAGACCCTCATGCCATACACGGTCAAAGGCCTTAGAAATATCAAGCGCAACAGCTCTTGATTCTCCATGTTTCTCGATTACGTTATTCGAAATATGGGTGACATACGATAGAAGGTCGCCTGTTGATCTTTGTTTCTGAAAGCCATATTGATGATCGTTCAAGATGTTGAAGCTTTCAAAATATTTGAAGATATGGTGGTTTACAACTTTCTGCATGATTTTTGATATCACTATAATAATAATAATAATACGCTCCGAGAGATATTGAATGCGTTGTGGGGAACGAGAAGTGCCGAATTTGTTGGAACTATTCGTTCCCCACTCTCAGGCTCTTACAAGCTAATAAGCCTGATGTAGTCCTCGACCACCACAGCAAGACGATATTTGTCGTGTTTTCAGCTCCTGGCGAGACAAATATCGTCCGAAAAGAAGAGGAAAAACGGACAAAATATCGAGATTTTCTCTTCGAACTCCGCAGACTCTATCCAGACCATTCTGTCAAGATGGTCGTTCTGATTATTGGAGTCTTTGGTGGAATGATACCCTCTCTACCCTCGAATCTTGAAATCATACCGGCTTGCCGCACCATGGCGCACAGATGCAGATGGTTGTTATTTTTGGCTCACTGCGCTTGCTCAAGGTACATGATTCTCGGACCCAATGATCACTTACCCCATTGTGTGGGGAGTGGTTGTTTGTTGATAATGCTGGCGCGCTCTCTCGAATGTATCGGGGCTTCGGGGGTCTGACATAAAAACTTGGAAAGTTGACTTGGGTGTGTGTCACACCAATAGGTGGTTCCACTTATGTTTCGCTTGCGTTTACGCAGCTATTTTCATCAAGTACTTTCTCGGTTTTTTTCTCATTTTGTCTTCAATCAGAGGACCGCCTGCCCGGTACTGACGATGCCCAATAAGTTGAAACAGCTGTCTACCGGTGGCTCTTAAATTGAAATGAAATATGGGAATGATCAAAAAGTACTTATCTATTTATTTTTTGATTTTCATGGAATTATTTTCCAGCAGCTTGACTGCGGACCTCTATTTATGAATTACATACAATATATGTGTTTCTCGAAGTTTTTCTCGTCATTGTATTGCCATTCAATTCCCGGTCAGAGGTACCTCAAAAAAGTAGGAATATTTAATTTTTGGGTCTGGAACTCAAAGCTATACCTACATAAACTGCACATATTGGATGAACGTGTAATATAGCAAGTAACAAGCAGAAAAAATTAATCTCGAATACTGCTAACCATATACGTCGTTCACGATTATATGTTCAAATTGCCTTCCATTGTCCACATATTCCCTATTGCAATAGTATTTTTTATGGCAATTGTCCAGCATTTGTGGAGTTACAGTTATGCAATCCCTCCTCATTGTTTCTTTCAATAAGTCAATATTACCCAAGGTTACAAATATTGATGTTGTTTTTTTTCGGAGACAGACGTCGGGAAACACATGTATTGTAATTTGTAGCTGAATTCGTCATTACAGTAGCTACAAAAATCGTATTTAAAAAAATTAAGTTGATGATTAAATCTAATGAATGAAACGTTGCATTGCAAATTGGTTTGTATCAGACTATAACAAATAAAAAAAGTACTGAAAGTTTACCTGCCTTTTTTATATCATTCGAATTGGAGGCGGTAGAGCCAAAACACTAGTTTTTCGCCAATATTTCAAGAACAACCATTGATATTCTCGATCTGAAATTTAACCAACCTTGTAGGTCATACCGTTTCCGAGATA